GCACACAGAACCCAATAATACAGTCATTGTACACCGCCTGCCCCCCCCCAAAAAAAGTCACACATTAATATTTTGTTGGACCACTTTTAGCTTTGATTATGGCACACATTGGCCCTGGCATCATTTCAATAAGCTTATGGAATGTTACAACATTTATTTCCATCCAGAGTTGCATTCATTTTTCACCAAGATCTTGTAGTGATGATGGGAGATTTAGACTACCGTGTAAAGTCTTCTCCAGCACATCCCAAAGATTCTCAATGGGGTTAACGTCTGGAGTCTGTGGTGGCCAATCCATGTGTGAAAATGATGTCTCATGCTCCCGGAACCACTCTTTCACAATTTGAACCTAATGAATATGCCCAATGTGCCACCAGAAAAGAAAAAATCAATTGATGGAAAAACCTGTATATTCAGGTAGGCAGCTGACCTAATTTTTGGGGGACATAACATTAATGAACCTAGACCTGACCAACTGAATCAACGCCAGGCCATACCAAACCCTAAATCCAGGTGGTGACTTTTTTGACCAGGCAGTGTATTTTAGTTTTCTAGTGCAGTAGTTTTCCTGATGAACCTCATAACGTTTCTAATAATTCTTCTGAAGGTAAAAGTGAACTTCAGGCATAAAACTAAATAGGCAGATTTATTACATAGATGAGATTTGTTTGACCTGCGAAAGGATTTCTCTCAATCCAGTCCTGAGATTTACACAGCTCAGCCCTGCCACATAGCCATGACTGGCAGGGTAGGGGACCTGGTCTTTCTCTGCTGCAGTTTCACTTTTACTGCCAAGTCCTCACCCTTTGTCTTGGCTTTAAAGCAGAACTCTGGTCAAATCAAATCTTAACCCTTGCATTGGGGCTACCCCCATCCATGGGTATTGTTTACAAAGGGGAATTTCACCTATCTGTATAAAATAGCATAGTCCTGCTCTTCAAAATCTTCAAAATCCTCAACCCCAGCTATCACTCTGTTTATCTTACCTTTTTTGCAATTCATATAGTGAATAGCAGCAAGGGAGCTTATCTGTGTGAGATAGCATGTGTACACAACCGAAAACACAAAAACTCTTACAGAGGTATCAAGATATACAGTGGAAGCCTAGTGGCTTAATGGTTAGCACTTCTTCCTTGCAGCATTGGGGTTTCTGGTTCAAATCACAGGACACTATCTGTTGGCGTTTGCATGTTCTCCCTGTGCTTGCGTGGATTTCCTCCGGGTACTCCGGTTTCCTCACACACTCAGACATTTTGGAAGGTTAATCCTGTCTAAATGGGCCCTATATGCATGTGAGATAGGGACCTTAGATTGTTAGCTCCTGGAGGCCAAGGACTGATGTGAATGTGCAGTATGTAGAGTGCTGCATAATTGCTATATAAATACCTGTAATCATAATAAGGAAGCAGCATAGTGCAGTTGCTAAGTGTCTTTCTTTCTGCAGAACAGCCCTTCCATTTCGAGTACTTCTTCCCCTATGCCACATACTGAGCCAGGGAACATCAAACAAGTCGTTGTATGACAGAGGCATAACAATAGCCACAGCAGCCCCCTGCTATGGGGCCTGGGGCTAGAAGAGGGTCCTATAAAGGAATGCCGAAGTTGCTGTTGACACTGACCCTGTACCCCCTGTGACATTTCCAATCAAGAAGAGCTTACCTCAGATGTATAGGAGGAGACAATGCAGACAGCTCTCCTGCTACCTGACTTTACTATAATTGACAGTAGGAAGGTTTCGGAGGGTCCCATCAAAAGTGCTGTCATCTTTTGGATTAGTAATAATGGTCTGTAAATGTAACACTTACACATTACTTATAATTCATGCACCTAATATGAAAAAATATATCTGAGTTGTCTTAAAGTAGTCTTGTCAGTTTCAAAAGCAAAGTATTTGCAATAAAGCAAAGTGGAAAAAAAACAAAAACTATCCAACATAGGTGACTAATTGTAGAAATCAATGGTCTTCAGGAGAGATTGAGGGAGTATTTATCAAACAATGGGCTCATAATTAAAAGAGCATTCATAATTCTCATGATTAATGATGTTAATAATTGTGACCTCTGAGTGCTTTCAATTAGAAACAACATTGTTCTGAATTTCTAAGCATAACTGCACCTAGGAATTGTGACTGTGAAGCTAAACCTGTATTATGCTTACTGATAAACGTCACTTGTTCTAGAAGGCTAAATCTGGCCATACACTGTTAGACTCTCTATCTTTGAGTGGGCTTGCCAGCACCACCTGTCTCAAAAAACTTTGAAAAATTAAGGGAGCCAGACAGAACATTTTTAGCTGCACTGTGACTGCAGCCAATCAGCTACAGTCACTTTTCTGGTATTCTGACAGTTGGAGGCGCTGGCTGTTACAATATAATAGCCCCCAAAAAAGAGGCATCACCAAACAAAGAAGAGTCCAAGGGAGTTTTTATTGGTAGGAATAAAAGCATCAACGTGCCAACGTGTTTTGGGGGCAAACACTGACTTTGTTAGGACATAATAAGTCATTAGGACTTTAAAGCATTTGCAGTGGTTGCAGAGATTAGGAACATTACCTTGGTGTAATTCCAAAGAGGATCCCTTGGGGAATGGACTCAGGGAAAGTTACAATGATAGTGAACACAAGGGGCACATGCAGCAGTCAACAATTGGGAAAATACAATAGCTGTCAGGCGAGACCCCTTTGCCCTGCTGTTTAGAATGGATGGGGTTATCGAGAGTATGGCCAACTTTAGTGACCAGATCAGCCACATGATGCATATTTCCTTCTTCTATGGACTTTATGATTAAACCTCATTGTTTAGGGCATAATAGAAAAGTAAACTCTCCTTGTTTGAGCCTAGTGAAATACTGTCCCCTGACCTGTGATTTCCAATGTCCCAAACCCAAGTTTAGAAATTACTATCTTTAAAGGAGAACTATGAGGTGAGTGATTTCCACAGATCCTCATAGTTAGAGCCTACCTGTGACAAAGAAGCTGTCACAGTTCGGAAGAATCGGACACCCCAATTGTTTGCACTCGTTTGGGGAAATGTTAGTGAATATTTAAATCTGATTAGTTGAGAATAGCTTTGCCTCTATGAATAAGCCGGATTGGTGAAACGCGTAAGCGTATTGTGTACGTTGAGATCTGTTTCACAATTAAAATTTGTTACAAAAAACTGTAATTTTATTCATGAAGAACCGTGGAAGTACGGTTTATTTTAATAAGATGTGAATACCGGAGGCGAGAGCGCGCCTGTTTGCCTGCACATGGGGCATGATTATCATGTGGTCCAGCTTGTGAATTAGAGTGGTGGCTTATTTTGTATTGGTTTAAGCATTATTATTATTAAATTTAAGCTTTATAAAACCTTTTATGGAATAAATATTCCACTCTAAACCTAAATATGTATATATCTTGTAGCAGAGTTGCTTAGATTTCTATACATAACCTACTTAATGGTTTGTCTTAGTTTCAAAAGCGGGAAGGGTTGCCAATGTGCAAATGATCAGATCTTGGCTGGAAAGGATTTTCCCACCTGATTGTTTTCTGGAGCCCACATTACTCTGGCTCTCCTGTCCATAGGGCACAAACATGCTAGTCTGCCCAGTGCCTGTACAATGATCCTTATACATCTTGCCTGCCTAACCATTTGTCATCTAATAGTTGTAGACTGCGTTAGGTATACCCATGCTGTGTTTGTGCCTGTCACGACTAGCAATTGTGATATGTTGGTGAGGAGTAAGCACAAACATCTTATTTGTTAAATATTTTACTCATGTATAAGGCTTTACACAAAATGTTGTTACATACAGGATTGTTGCAAATGTAAACATTGCTTAGCAGAGTTCTACTTATGGCAACATGATCTTTTTTAGATGTTCATTATTTTAGAACTTGCAGTTTGATGTCAGTAAAGATAATGTTAAACTTTTGAAGCTCCAGCCAAACCATTGTTTTGCATGAGGAAGAATTAGAACAATTGTCATGTTTTTGTTACTGTTTGTATGGCCATTGGGCAGGCTTCCAATCACTTCTTTTCTGGGGTCAGAGATGGCACTAAAAAGCTGACCCTTCTAATTCTATCCAAAACTAAAAGACGTTTTTGGTATGTGCGGGGTTTTCATACGGTTTATTCTTTTCTCTTTCGTGCTTTGTTTTCCTTTTCACTGAACATATTTTCTTATCTTTTGTAGTTGAAAGATGTATGAGTGTAATGCAGTCTGGGACTCAAATGATCAAACTAAAGAGTGGAACGAAGGGTCTGGTCCGCCTGTTTTACCTGGATGAACATCGTACTTGTATAAGATGGAGACCCTCCAGGAAAAGTGAGAAAGCTAAAAGTAAGTAACAAACTTGAATTTGAAATCTGAAAAAATGGACATTCTATCATTGCATTGTACTTGTATCTTATGTGGAAGGGTAGTTTATTGTAGACCAAGTCTAACGTCTTCCTGCTCTTGGTCACTCCAATGTCTCAATATCCCCATCACATTTCTCAAATCCTGCCCACCACCTCTTGGTCGCTTCATTGTCTTAAAAACCCCATCACGTTTCTAAAATCCTGCCCATCACCTCTAGGTCACTTCAGTGTCCTGATATCCCCATCACATTTCTCAAATCCTGCCCACTACCTCTTGGTCTCTTCAGTGTCCTGATATCCCCATCACATTTCTCAAATCCTGCCAACCACTGATTCCATAACAGGTGTCACACTCTTGTTACTGCATTGTTACAGTATACATTTTATTGAATATCAACCACAGAATGGTTACACCTTGTGCTGACTTTATAGCAGGCCATGGTGCAAAACCCACTATTGAAGATGTGATGCTATCAGAATCCCTAAGAGAAAAAAAAAATGTTGTCACTGGCTGTTGGACTTGGTGTATAACATAATATATCTATTATTTTGTGGTAGGTTTTTGTAATGTGCCAGCAACAGTATTAATGCCCGGTAGTGTAGGAATATTGACAAGAGGGGTGGTAGAGATTCACAGTTGCACAGGGGTGGTAGAGATTCCTGTTTTTAGCCACTGTTTCAAGGTGCTGATTCATGTATCTCTGTATTCATTGGCTGTTTTCAGTTCACATGCCACCCCACCACCCACCTGCTTCGCACACCAGTTTAATTGGATTATGCATAGCGGTCAGTAGACACAGATACTTGTGTTTTGTTCCTGCCATAGGCTTGTGAAACATTTTTTTTTGCATATGAAACACAGTGTTTTCATTTGGAATAAGATTTTATGCAGTGGTATGTTTTTGCAAATTACTGCTATGATGATGACAGATAATATGAAACTAATACTTTCAGATACAGGGAGTGTGCATACATATAGGGGGTTATTCACTAAGCTGCCGAAGGATGTAGCCGAACATTTGGCTAATCTTTCAGCTCACCTTGACTGCAGAAACCCTTCAGTTCAGCCGAACTGAAGGGCTGCTGTATATGCTATTCTCATTAGCCTGTACAGCAGCCGAAGTAAACAGATGAGCGGCATGCTCATGCTTCGGGTTGGCTAAGCCGAACACACAGCCGGAGCGGGGAGAACAGTCTGCTGAAGCAGACCGAATCCTCTGCAAAAAAATAGAAGAATAAACAAAAAAAACAGCATGGGCTCCCCCTTCACAAATCATACCTGACCCTTTGGGTCTGGAAGGGGGACCCCTGATAAAGAAACGCGTATAGTTCCCCTACAAATTCATACCAGACCCTTACGGGGAAAAAAGTGGGGTTCCCCCCTAAAATTCCATAACAGACTTTTAATCCGAGCAGTGGCCTGGCAGGACAAGAAAGGGGGGCGGTGAGTGAATACCCCCCCCCCAGAATAATACCAGGCCATATGCCCTTGGCATTGGGAGGGTGCTTTCCCACGGGGACCCCCCTTTCCTGCCCTTTCAGGCCACTGCTCGGATTCATAAGCTCATCCTTTTGACTAGTCTACTTTCCTTTCCTGTCAGTTTGATTACTGTTGGCACACATATACTGCAGTGGAGCTAATTGGCTCATAATGCTGTCCCTTCTTTTATCTCCCAGTTCTACTGTACAGGGAATTATAAGGCCATACAAGGTCCTATTTAGGTACCTTTACTAGTTGCATTTAAATATACAGGTATGAGATTTATATGAATTCATAACTCCATTAATTTGTGTTTTTGTACCTGCCTTAAATTCAGGTATAAAGGGTTTATTTGCAGCCATTTTAGTTATGTTGAATATGTTGTTTTGATGCACCAAGCATGTCCCCTGTGCCCCAGCTGTCTCACAGAAAAATCATTACAGTTGGTGTAAGCTTATTTTGAATAGTGGGATCAGTCTGTTGCATATCTTCATAGCACCAAGGGGATAAAGCAGTATGTCTGTGAAAAGGTCTGCTAATTCGCATTTCCTCTTTAGATTTGTTTTCAGTAATACATTTGATTTGACCTAATTTTCTTTCCTTTTTATATCACTGAATTATATACTCTTATTAGTATATTTCTATGCTGCCATGAGTGTAGCTTTTCCATAGACATTTTCTTGATAATTCATGTGATTTACGACACTATAAAATGAAATGTCCCCAGAGTATGCCATTATCTAAAAATAGGGTACCCTTTCTTAAATAAAGAATGATAAGTCTGACTTTGATGTTCAGACTGTGCTCTGCAATTACATTTCACAGAGTTTAACCAAAGGGAACAGCAATGTGCTTTAAACTCCTTAACTTTCACATGTTTGACATTTACAGCTAAAATATTAATTTGATTCACAATCTTGTGAAACTTGCAAAATGCGGGTTCTCTGTAAAGTAAAACTAGTTTAACTTTTTTTGACTGTATACAGAAATGCTCCACTTCTAAGTGGTATGACAAACGGCCCCTTTGGGTGTAGGGCATAGTTGTGGATGGGGTTTAGCTGCCACCTAGGTTATGGCGGTTTATAAAATATGCTGGTGGGAGTGGTAGGTCTGTCTTACAGCAAGCAGGGGGTTAAGCACTGGACGCCCCTTCTGCACTTAGGCATTATTTAGGTTTTCCCTGGGATGAGCAGTGTGTGGTGGGTGTTAGATCCAGTTGGCATCCCACCACATGCCTTATCGGTAAACTCCTCCCATATGAGTGCTGAAGTGACTGTGGATAGTGCCACTCAGATGCATGAAGAACCAATATGTAACCAGCACACAGGAGAAATGTGTCCAAGCAAGCATCTTTTATTGACGCATATACATAATGTCACAAGAATGGCAATGTTACGGGGGCCATGCAGGGACCCTTCTTCATGCTCACTCCTGTCTGGCAGGGCAGGGGACCTAGCACAGTGATTCTGTCACCACTGCCCTTCCAAGGTAATACCTGGTTTTACAAAGGCATTTCTTGCATGCAAAGTGGATTTCTATCTTTTGTGGCTATTGCTGAATATTTTAAAATCAAAGTTTGTGTCCTTGGAGTTCAACTTTAATTAACCTTTACAGGTCTTTTCCCTCCTCCAGCCTGAGCAGTGAAAGGAGAAGCACCATCTGTTGAGCTCATCTCTCTGTCACTTTTCTCTTATTTCCTATGAACATGCTCCTTGCAACGCAGCACAACTGATTGGCTTTATGTGCTGTTTCTCCCTCCCCTTCTCTGAGCTCTTCTGTACAAGAACTGTGAAAAGTTGATAACAAGTAAAATTCAGGAAACTACATTGCTTGCATTTAAAAATCCATTTGAGAATGTATTATTAAATACAGAGATTCATTCATTTTTTTCTTTAATATCTGCTTGAGGTGGGTGAAGAGGAGTGCTTGTAGTGCACGTTTCCAGGGGGTGGGGGGTAGTGCACAGTACCTCTGGCTCTGCCTCTGTTTGTTGTCCCGCCCAGCTCACTGATGCCACTGGTTGCCAGAAGCTGGACAGGGAACCAGCCAGAGCATCCATCTCAGCTCCTGGCATCCAGTGATGTCACTGCTTGCCAGGAGCTTGGGAGGACATTGGCAAGAGCATCATAAGTTGCTAAGAACTCTTAGCAACCTGGGACACACTGGCTGGAAATTACTGGACCCCATGCCAGTCTATGGGGAATCGGATGTAAACAGACGTGTGCCCATTTACATCAGATTACCCCTGATCCGGCACGATCCAGGCCGTTGAAACGGAACACTGTTCCATTTGTTCTTCCGGAGCGGGCAGGAGTATAACTAACAGGCAGATCCAATTGCAGCAGCCGTGTGAAAGGGGCCTTATACAAAAGGTTTGTAGTATCTGTCTATTTGTTTGTATTGTCTAGTGTTTTCCCTCTTCCTCACTGGTACAATCAAGTCTTTCCTGTAATGTATAGACCCCCGCACTATAGGAGCACCATATCTCCTGTTTGTCAGTCTAGTGACGTCTTCCATTGTACTGACCCACTTAATGCTTTCACCATGAAGCCACCTGGCCCATTAATATTCTTTTTTTGCCACAACACCGTAGCTGTATGGCCCCTGCCCTGCTAACTAATGTTTTTCCTAGCTGAACTACTGCCTGTATAAACTAATTTGAGTGCAGACAAAATCTTCCGTTTAATATGAGATATTTTCTGAACTGCATACAGAGCTCCCCTGAGAATTTCATCCAAAGCCTAATTTTGTTTTTCTCATTTCAGTTATAATTGATTCAATTTACAAAGTCACGGAGGGGAAGCAGTCTGAAATCTTTCATCGCCATGCAGAAGGGAACTTTGACCCCACTTGTTGCTTTACCATTTACCATGGTAATCATATGGAGTCTCTGGATCTGATAACATCCAACCCCGAGGAAGCCAGGACTTGGATTACAGGGTTAAAATACCTGATGGCTGGTATAAGTGATGAAGATTCTCTAGCAAAAAGGCAAAGGACACATGATCAATATCCTTTTTGGAAAACTAATTATGTGGTCTAATATGTTGCATGCTTCATAACAAATCATTGCTGACTTTATTTTTCATACCAAAGAGTATAAGGCAATGGTCTGCAACAGTTTGTGTTCAGTGGTTCAGAAGTGTCTGGGCATAGCATTGCTAGAACATGGCACCTGGGACACGTGCACTGGGTCTACATCTGGGTGGTCTGGGTCAAGCCACAATCCGCTGGCAGGCAAACTGGTATGGTGGAGTGATCTCTTGCCTGACAGTGTCTGCATTATTCAGGTTACAACATGCTTCACCAGAGGGGTGAGACAATTAATGACCACCAATTTATGGGTGCACGGCACCACTGACCATCAAAGTAAGGGGGGGCTTTCCACTTTGTGATAATAAGGACTGCATCATAAATGCAATATACAAAAAAAGTAGGCTCTTTTAATCATGCGCCTGTAAGCTATGCACACCGATCAGTGCAATGTGGCCACATGCACTGTTCTGTCTTCAGATTGCCCAGTAGTGTCCCAGGTATTTTCTAATCTTAGCAATATCCCTGTGCTGGGTGATCCAAACTATACATATGAAATAAATACATATGCATAGATTACTGCTAAGAAAACCCATGTCAAAACGCTCTGTAGATTCAGCTGAAGTTATATGAAAATGTTTTCTTCCTGTTCCAGTTTCCAGAACCTCCTGAACCTTGGCCAGTGGGGTGCATCACAATAAAAGAATAAAGGGAGAGTTGGGTAGCATGAAAAGGTACTGGAAAAGTGGATATTTGCATATAAATTCAGCTGCATATATCTCTAGGTCTATTGATCGCTTTGACATCAAGTTTTTACTGAAGGAAACTACCTTCTTATGTATGTTTTTATCTTTTTCTTAATTTTACTTGGTTAAGTATATGACAGGTTTACTTAAAACATGTTACATTTGAATTAATTACATTTTGAAAGTGTTATTCTTAAATTCTAAGTCAGCACCTGGTTTTAGCTAAGCATATAGGTAAGAGCTATAAGGGTTGCTTGATTTAGTTATGTCTAGGTTCAGCACTTTATGTGCCCAACAAATGAGGTCAGCTGCCTACCTGAATATACAGAATGACCAGGTTTTTCCATCAATGGATTTTTTCTTCCCCAATGGCATATTGGCTTATTCCAAGATTACAATGCCAGGATTTAGGCTCAAATTGTGAAAGAGTGATTCAGGGAGCATGGGACATCATTTACGCACATGAATTGGCCACCACAGAATCCATTTACCCCATTGAGAATATTTGTGATGTGTTGGAGAAGGCTTTACTCAATGGTCTGACTCTCCTCTCTACAAGATCTTGGGGAAAAATGAATGCAACTCTGGACAGAATTAAATGTTGTGTGATTGCATGAGCTTATTGAAATGATGCCACGGTGAATGCTTGCTGTAATCAAAGCTAAAGGCGGTCCAACGAAAATAGAGTGTGATACTTTTTTTGGGGGCCAGGCAGTGTATATTGAAGCTCTTGAGCTGACCTATGGATTTCTAGTCTGAAATCTTGTTAGCAGGTCAAAGCTAATTTTTTAGGCACTGTGACTTGCCAAAAACTGATTTCTGCACCTTATTATTTAAAGAAGAACTTGTACAAAATGAACCCTTGCAGTGGGGCTACCACTGCACTGCAAGGGTTAAGGGCTCATTTTGGTCTAGGGTACAAAATAAAAAAAGATATACTCACCCCATCCTTGGTCCTGCAGTGGTGACTGCTCACCTTTCTTCCCCTCCACTCCAATAGTGCCCACACGTCCAATACAAGGGAATGAGCATGATGATGTCACAGGTCTTTAGATCGGTAGAGCCCGGGGAAAAAAATGGGCTGCGGGACTGGTTTAGCATCCAGGTGGGACCAAAGATTGGGTGAGTATACTTTTTTTATTTTAGGCCCCCAGACCAAAATGAGCACTTAACCTTTTCAGTAGGGGGAGGGGGGGTTGCCCCACTGCAAGGGTTAACATTTAATATGCCTAGAGTGCTTAATTAAAGGTTGTGTTGTGTATATGTGATTTTGTCTTTGGCAGGGAATGTATTTACCATGCCTGTGATGTGATGAGTGTTGTGCTAGAGAGCCAGTGGTTCCCAGAAGTGATACATATGCACTTACATGTATACATAGGTGTTGGGGGTTTCAAAAGTTAGGACTTAAATTGTGTATGTTTAGGCAAAACTTTTTCTAAAGTTTTCGATAGAGAAGGGAGGCGTTAGAACCGCTATCAAGTGTCTACTGCTGTCTATGTTCCCACTGGGTAAATTGACTGTATTTATTTGTCCTTGTCACCATTGTCATGATGGGAAATCAAAAGTTATACAGCTGTCACCAGAACAGCAGGTGGGTCTAATATTCCAATGGAGACACTTGTTCTGGTAACAACTGCCAACTACATCTAGTTTATAACTGATATTGAAATTTTCCAGCACAGTACAGACAGGGTTAATTAGGGCAAGCACAACTCCCAAGCCCCCTCATAAACATTACAAAGTGAGGGAGAACAAAATAAGATTTTTCAGTCCTGGAGTTTTCAGAAAAGAGCATGTAAAACGGTAAGCAGCAATTTTTAAAATATATACTTTTTTAAGTTTTGCTCTTTGAATGGGAACATGTAACAGATACAAAGCAGGTGTTGTCCTAAATTGGCTGCAAAACCGGAAATACACTCCAACTTTCAGAGAAGGAGCCATATTGGGATAATAGCTAGTGTAATTGTGAAGAGTGAAGACAGAGAAAGAAGATATTATTAGACCCAGTGGGTATAGCCAACAAACAGAGGACAGATAACATTTAAAAGTAAATGTCATGTAAATTCTAAGATATTTATTTTCATTTAATCTTACCATGCGGTATTATCAGCGGAGCACTTAAACTAATACATGGAGGCGTATTCCATCCCTCACTGCTTCTTATTGCATTACCTCTCCCTCTGTCTTATTAGTTTTCCTGTGAAAAAGTACATTCTTCCCCTCCTGTTTCATGTGTTCACTTGGCCATGTCCACCTGTAGTGCAAAAACTATTTGCGTATTTAATGTGAAGGACATAGTGTTTAAACGGTGCACAGATTGTGAAAAAAAACTTGGCCAGCACAGAACTAGTACTTAAAACATCACAACACCCTGCCTCAATAGTTCTCTCATATTTTGAGTTCAGTAGAGGAGTCTTAACAATTGTGTAAGACTGAAGGTAAGGCTGGAGTTGATATTTTATTTCACTGGTATTACTAATTTTTGGAAAGTGTAACTGTCTCCTATACAGATTGAAAGCAGTCACTCTGTAGGCACATAATCAGTATTTATGCCTCAAAGCTTATAACTAGTTCCTGGTGCCTTGACTGAATAGCTTTCGTTTAACTGATAATTAGGCTTTCCACTTTCATCAAGTCACTTGCAGTCCATTGTGGACATCTAGGAACCTCATCACTCTGACCTGTGCGGCAGAACTTGTAGCTTCTATGGTTTAGGCCTCATTCACAAAGGTTAGAGTCGGCCCATACAGATCCGTGCGGTATTGGGCTGTTCTCGGGAAGGACAGGTGCGTGTGTATGTATGCAGCAGCCTGTTCTTCCTTATGGGAGGTCGCGGCGATATGCTGCTGTACACTCAACCGAGCTGCACATCAGTGTGGGTGTCCCTACTCGGACACAGACAAGATGGATCCTGTGTGCGTCCGAGCACGGACACCCACACTGATGTGCAGCTCTGGTGAGTGTACGAAACAGGAGTCACAGCATCTCCAAGGTCTGCAACAGCCTTTGAGTTACTGCTCTTTTTTTTCTGTCTCGTAGCTGAGCCGAGCGGAGCTCTCTTCAGCTTTTACAGCAAATACAGTGCCTGGACAAAAAAAGAAGTTACACACTATTTCACTGGACCGCTTCTAGCTTTGATTACAGCACGCATTTTCTGTGGCATTATTTGGATTAGCCTATGTAGTGCCACAACATTTATTTCCATCCAGATTTGCATTCATTTTTCACCAAGATCTCGTGGTGATGATGGGAGATTCGAACCACTCCTTAAAGTCTTCTCCAGCACATCCCAAAGTTTCTGTGTGGGGTGAAGTTCTGTACTCTGTGGTGGCCAATCCATGTGTGAAAATGATGTCTCATGCTCCCTGAACCACTCTTTCAACAAATACAGCTCTTACCTAATTGCTTAGCTAAATTCGTTTTGTTTTCTTTGGCCAGGCAGTGTACTATTGTGTGCATACCCGGTTAGAGTCAATTTCCCATAAAGTCGTTGTCATAATGTCATTATCAAAGCCAGATTTTTTTTTCATATTTAGTAGAAAGTATTACCAACTAAACAAAGTAACGATATGTGGATCTTTCCCGAGTGCAGATCGGCTCGCTGTGGGTCGACTGTGGAACTCGGCAGATTGATTTACTCAGCTCTAATTATAAACTCACATATTTTCTCCAGCTCTGTTTGAGTGAGAATAAAATGAACAGCTGGAAGCCTGCTGAATGCACTGAGCCCATAGCTGTTCCAGCTGGCAGCAAAACTTGACAAGAGCCACAGAGGAATAGGCTGAGGGAGATAGGGTGGAAGATGGCTTCTATTGTGCAGATCAAGTGTAATGCAGGGACAACAGACACACAGAGGGGTGGAGATTGCATTCCATTTTAAGGCATCAAGCTTTTCATTTTGTTTTGCTGTTGCCTTTATTGTGTGCAGGAATTTATTTCCAAATGTTGCTATCTTAGGCCCCCCCAAAGTACAGTAGTTATTGGCCATCATCTTAATGGTTAGCCTCATAGCTTGGTGGATAAATAAAGAGGAAACAGCAAACACACTAATCATATTACAATTTTGTGTGTTCAACCATTAGCTGTGTTGCCCTATGCAAATGGATATTTTCCTTATATCCAATTAATACCTTATAATATAAAATATGATGTAGATGTGTTGTAAAGAAATGCTATAAATTGTATAGCTGCAAATAGCCTTAATGAAAGTTTAAGCCTCTGTTCACACCTCTGCGATGCAACATCACAGGTGTGTTGAACAGTGCACTTGCAGTGTGTGCGACAGGCAGCCCATATTTACATAGGCTGCCTACCTGAGCCAAATAGCACCTTTTTAAAATTGCATCACACCACAAAGCACCTAACGTTGAAAAATGCGATCTCTTGCGATGCGGTTTCGTGTGTGGCATCACCTGCGCTCCCGCACCGCAGAGATCTGAACTAGAGCTAAGACTGGGAATCCATAAGGTCACCATACATAGGACTAGACTGTTACACAAAGCAAACATGTGGTGCAATTCCCCAACAATCTACACAAGCACAGAGTACAAGCTGTCTTATCAACAGACCTTAGGAATCCAGCATCAACACAAACAAGTCAACCAACCAACCAACCAATTTTACATTTTTATTTTTTCTGATTTTTGATGGAAACTAAAGCCACCCAAGGATACCCTTTGCTGATGCAGTGGCTGGCACAGAAAGACAAGTAGATGAAGCCAGGCACCTCCCTGTGTTGCTGAAATGGAGCTATCATTAGACACACAGAATAGCAGATGTGGTTGCGGGGGAAAGGAAAGATCCATCAACTGTCTGACTGTTCATTACTAACTGATGAGATCCCTCCAGCTTTAGATGGCATTATTCAATACATTCACCTTATTATCCATAGCACACATGAACTATGGAACAACAATGGCTGGAGCACATGAGTGTAGGAAATTACCATCTGGTTGCAGTTGTTTGCTGTTGGCCCACTTTTTGTTATCAATTAATACAGGGGTAACTGTGGAGCTGGCAGATTTACATCATCCAGTGTTTGGTTATCTTCTAGACCCAAGTTTTTCCCTTTTGGGTGCCACCATATTGCTTCTTTCACAACATTGAGGAGGAGAAGCCAATCTGTAAAGCACAACCTGCATGTTGTAGACATCTCATCCCTTTCTGTGACAGTCATGTGTCAGTGAGCTGAGCATACGTTACTGGTTAGAGGTACCACTGGTTTACCTGCTTGGTTAAAGGAGAGGTGCACATTAATTTTAATCATCAGAATTAGTGCCCTTCAAATTACTAAAGAATATTTCCAGCTCGATGAAAGATTTCTTCATCATGCCTGCAGGAGATATTCAATATTATAAAAAGTTTGGGACAGACAGCGTAATTTTCTAAATAGTTTTTGGAAAGTGTAAGTGAGGGTTAGAATCTCTGTAAACTTTTTTTTTGCCATCTGTGTCTTATTGGGGAGATTTCCCTTCACTTCTTGTCTGATAGCCACAATACTAAGTGAGAAAAAACCCCTTCAAGATGAGGGGAATTTCTGGTGGTTAGCAAGGTCACCAGAAGTAGTGTCCCCATTGAAAGATGTCCCATCTATTCCTGTTCTGGTGATCACTCACAATTTGGGGTTTTCTTTGACATCAGTGTACGATAACTATAGCATGGATCAGTAAAAGCTAAGTACTAAATGGCTGGCCTGCCTTACTGTGCTTTGCCTTATAGAATAGGATATGTATACTATACTTTACAATTGTCTGAATACATGTGATTGGCTGCTAATCAGAAAAACTCAACTGTTCCCAAACGATAACAGTACATAAAAAGTCTTCTTTTTGACACAGATAAAATCCATCAGAATGTATAACATGTTTGTTAAGATTTGCATTCCAAGCATTTTTTTAATCTCCCGGTGGACTCATAAGTGCTATTAATTCAGCGGAGAAGTGGAGGAGGAATCATTAATTAAACATTTATAAGACTTTACTGGAGACCTTTAATTTTTCTGCACAACAGTGAAGATGACAGCTTGGAATACATTTTGTTGTACCTTATATATGATAATATTCTAATGAAATGCTTCCTGTAGTCATTCAGCAAGTGCTACAAAAGATTTAAGCCTGATCCTTTAGGCACATTATGCTATAAAAGTACTTAAATGTAGAGTTTTCTGCTTCCACTAAAGTGCACCCGATAGTTTTATTGAAAGTTTCTCTGATCTGAAATAAGCATCTTACTGGCGTTCATTTAATATTGCAACAGGGACCATTAAGTATTTAAGTCTAATGATCATTCTAATTTTAAAGGGATTGTAAAAGGTTGCACGCAAAATTTTAAGTTGTGATTTTATCTCGTAATGACTGATTATAAGGGAAGGATTTTCCCAGTAGCATACAAAACAGGCAATCATTTTAGCTTGTTCCACAGTGTGACAGCAAGCTAAAGAATGAGAAAGAAACTTAGAATGAACAGGTCTAGTCTTCCTCCAATGTGTTTCATTGCTAATTGCAAGATATCAGCATCATAGGGAGTGCAGTGTGTTTCAGTAGTTTGGCAGAGACATAGACTTTCCATAATGAGAGGACACAGCTAAACATAACCATTGTGTGCTGCATTACAAAGTAGAAGATAGAACCTTCATATACAACAAGCAAATGTGGACACCCTCTTGTACATGTACAGTTGCAAGCTACCTTGTACACAAATGTATTTAACAATATAAACACGCATTGATAAGATTATTTATGTGAAGCTGATGAAGCTTTTGCATGTATATAAAAAATTGTATGTATTTAAAAAACCTTGAAAATACTTTATATTCTCTGACGTTAGCAGGCAAAAACACAGCAAAACAAATCACCTTATATAACATTTTATGTAGTTTCCAGGGGTGGAGCATAGGGGAATACTATAGAGTATCGCTTCAGTGACAGCTCTAAGGTCTCGTTCACACCTAGGCGTATTGCATATGCGCGTCTGTCGCGCGACCGTCACGCGGTTTTTACCGCAATTCGCGGTAAAAAAGTTGCGCGACAAACGCGCGTTTACGAAGGCTACTTGGCTATATCCCAATAGAAACGCGCAACAAAACGGCCCAAAGTAGTACATGTACCTTTTCAGGCGTGGGCCGTTTTGTAGCGCGTTAGGGACGGGCGGAAATACGCCAAGGTGGGAACGAGACCATTGAATACAATGGGATTTATATTTTTGAGCGTTTTGTAGCTACATAACGTTCAGGTGTGAACGAGGGCTAAATCTTCTGAGGTTACTGACATTAGATCTAAGATATCACTCTCAAGGCTGTTGGATGGAAAGAAAAAAAAACAGGTACAAAAACATACATAAAATACAATACATGCATATATTATCTGCTTGGAAGATTGCTGTCTGTTGGTAGGGTCTCTTTAAAGTTGGAACAGTTTTTGTCACTAGTCAGTCATAGAGACTTTCCTTTCATAAAGCTGGCCATGCACGTTTAGTGTTTTTCCCATTCAGCCTGTGGGCTGAATGACTTAAATCTGCTCGATAATTCCATCTTCGCTAAACAGCATTGATGGTGGAATCTCCCGCTGTCAGCTATTGAATTCAATACCCAAATGGTAACTGCAGATGACTGCAGTCAATGTTCGGTTTACAATATTCTGACCAGCTCCTTTAATTTTTCAATCAAGGCGACCCATAGCTTGAATTTTGGCCATATTTATAGACCTGTGAATTGGCCAAAAGTCAAGCCATGTATTGCCAGCTTTGCATAGTTACATAGCAGTTTGCAGTAACAATAGTGATTAGTCTAGAAACTCCATTTTCCCAGACACCAGTGGACCAAGGTGTGTCTGCAGAGATTGTAGTGTGTCCATAGACATTGGATAATTTCTTATCCAATTGTTATGGCCACTTTGACCGACAATATTCTTTTGTCAGTAGGTAGTGTAGTACAAACTGTCCGCGATAGGATTGCTCAGTTATGATTTGCATAGAAACGTGAATGTTTCTATGCAAACCCTAAGAGAAATCTGTGTTGTGTGTCCTTTGCCAATGTTTATAGAAACTGCTGCCAAATATGAACGGTTTGGCTTAAATACAACTCACTGATGCATAACTAGTGAACAAAAACTCTACTCAAGTCTGTCTCCAGGGACCCAGTTATTCCCCATTGGTGCAATAATCTTGTCCCTCTCACAGTGTAGAGGAGAAACCAGGCCTGCACCTCTGCCCTTGATGTGTCATGGCTCTCTGCAGGGCAGTATGCATATTTAGACAGTCCGGGAGAGTGATTATAACTAGAGATAAGGGCTTAGCTGTTGACTTTGACAAAAAGTCAAAATTTGATTATCGGTAATAATGCTGTTTAATCTGTCTATGCTGAACATTTTGGTGAAAGCAGGAGTGTGCTTGAGAAAGCTGATGGAGTGAATTAGGAAGAACTGAATGCCTGAAGAATGGAAGAGTTAACTTAAATAATAAAGTCTGTATATAGTTTTGTTTTGTGTGAAACAAGTACAATACTTGGGCACGTTTATGAGTTCTAGCACTTCCTTAATGGATCCATACATGGGTAAAACAGACATTTGAAGAAGCTGACAAGAACGGAGATGGCTTGCTGAATATAGAAGAGATCTACCAGCTCATGCATAAGCTTAATGTGAATTTGCCTCGCAGGAAAGTCAGGCAGATGTTCCAGGTTAGTTCTTTTTTTTAAATGTTCTGTTTCTCAGTCTGTTTTTTTTCCCCTTCGTGTTTATGACAATAAGTAGGCCACTTACTGCTTTTAACCCTGTGGCCATTGTGAAGAGGTCACGCACAGATATCAGACAGCAGCTCTTCCAGTCAGGGAATACATTCATTTATTACTATTGTTACAGCTGATTTAATAAAATGATTGTGTCTGAAATGTTGTGTGCTTTTTCTCTGGCCTCCTGTGGGTAATCCACTGTGCACACTAATGTCAGCCATCACCTCAAACCCTTATGAAAATACTCATTATGGCTATTGCATGCTTTAATGTCCTTTTCCAGAAGACAATTGTTACCCAATATGTTCAAGACCCCTACGTATGAGTGGTACTTTTCTAATGAGGTTGTTAATAGATGTTTAAAGCATTATCATGATGCATCTCTTTTGCTGTAGAAGTGAATTCAGATTAGTTTTTAAATCCTGTGAAATTTTGGTATTGGCACTGGTGTTGATAAAAAGTAATCACTCTATTTAAAACCTTTGGTGCAGCTACACTCATATTGAAGATTTTTCAATGTACCTGGCCCCCCCCCACAAGTCTTATACTCACCTATCCAGCAAGATATTGCCGCTTGTCACAATCTTCTGCGACAGGCCTGCCACTTGTGTTATCACTCTCCATGCAATCAATCCTATAGAGAGTTCATACTTCACTGGAGCATGGAGTACAAACTATTCATAGGACTAAGGAATGAAGAATGCACAGCTCTTGCACAGGCTCAGCCAAGAACATTTTGACAAGTGGCTCTGTGGCATTGTCAGTTTTATCTCTCTGGATCAAGGACAGGTCAGTATAAGACTGGCAGTGGGGCAGCGGAAGCTTCAATATAAGAGTAATTGCACCAAAGGTGCAGTTAAACTTTAAAGTAAACCTTTTATGAACCTTGATGAGTAAAACTGAGCATATGATTAACATTTTCAGATGTCACCTTCAGTAAAAATGTATTTTATTATGATGAGAACATGTAGAGATATAGGCGGTTAAAATTGTATGCAAATCTTAACTTTTCCTGTAAAAGCAGATCTTGATCCTAACTCTTCTGCCTACTTAACCTTCCTAGTTAGTCCTTTAGTTTGGTGGCGAGTCTCATTGACCAATAGGATAGCTTGGGAGTTGGGAGGGAGCAGGGCAATCCTTTACAGAAAAAGTCGTTATCTTTATCTGTTGGTCATTTTGACATGTGGTTTTTACTGAACGTGACCTCTGTTGATGCATTTTTTCACTATATGGTATTTACATTACATACCAGTTACACTACAATGTATTTACATTACATACCAGTGGTGGGTTAATGTCTGTTATGTCAAGGCAGCCTATATAAATAATGGACTGCCAATGTATCAGAAATCCTGGAAAATCAGATATATTGGTACATGCTGCAGCTCATGTGCATTGCCCCAAAATGAATGGCAATGCAACGCAGCTATGCATGTGATATGTGTTGCCACACGTTACCACAATGCAAGGATTTAAATGGGCTTCTGCTGGTTAAAGTTAATGCTTGTGGACTGAAATGTGTGAGCTGCCTTTGCTGACATGTTTTAAAAGGTAATCTTTAAGCTGGGCAATATTATTTCTGACTTTACTACTTAGCAAGTCACTGGTCATGACCAAGTATGCAGGCAGTGAAGTATGAAAAGCCTGAACTCTCTTTTGTATGTACATGATCAAGGCAAAAAAATATTAGCCCTAATGCCTGCATAAAAACAACAAATGTATCTTATTTGTGTATCACCCGGCTGTAGATCCTCAAATCATTCTTGAATTGGTGCTGACACTGTCCTTCCTTCTGGAGGGGGGCTACTTTTGTTCCCCATGGTCCCTGTGTGTGTTGTAAAGTAGCCACTGCTCCAAGCTCACTCCTGTGATGGACTACAATCTCAAGTTTAGTTTACTAATTTGTATTGAGATTGTAGTCTATCACGGGAGTGAGCTTGGAGCGGTGGCCACTACTACAAACACAGAGACCATGGAGAACAAAAGTAGCCACCCTCTGGAAGGAAGGACAGTGTCAGCATGAATTCAGAGATGATCTGAGGACCTACATCCGAGTGATATACAAATTAGATCCATATTTCTTAATAAAGTATAATACAATTGTCTGTTTTTTTTTTGCATATATCTACTATCAGCAAGCAGTAGATATATGCAAAAACATAAAAAGTTACCATGAAGGTAATTACTTACCTGTGTCTCCACTGCTCGCTCCCATCTGAAGATTCTCCAGTGGCCGTGAAGGATCATGGGTCGGGCGCATGTGCACTATAGATCTTCAGCCGGGAGAAGAGGAGAGACACAGTGTAAGTCAATGCACACAGCCCGGCAGCGTGCACGTGCACAGACACCGTGGATCACAGAAGACACAGCAGTCAGCGCTGGATCAGAGACCTGCACCAGTGCTGAGGGAACTCCTGAAAACAAGTGGAAGGAAGAAGATGATCGGATCAAGAGGCATCATTTAAGGTAAGTCCTTAAAGGAGAACTATGGGGTTAAGGCTTTTCCCCATAGTTGTCCTTAGGGTAACGGGAGGACACAAACTAGCGTCCTCCCGTCACCCTAAGCTCAGTATACCGTGAGCTACGGCTCGCGGTATACTGAGACGCCGCAGCTGAAGCGGATCTGGACAATTATGTCTGGATCCGCCCCCGCTGCATGAGTGACAGCTGGCTCTGCCTATCTAGAGGCAGAGCCAGCTGTACCCGCCCCCTCCCCCCTCCGTTCCGCCAGACAGCGCTGGCAGATCGGAGCGGGGAGGGGGGAATCCAGCCCCTCCCCTGTCACGGCAGAGAGCTGTGACAGGATCGAGAGGTGAGCGAAAGCCGGTATGTGTTCGCTCACTTCCCGATCTACTGAGCCGACCCGTGACAGTCATTGTCACAGGTCGGCTAGAACTATGAGGTGAGTGAAAAGCACTCCCCTCATAGTTCTCCTTTAAAGCAGCATTGAGAGGGGGACTGTGACTTTAATGTCACTTTAAGGTACTTCAATGTATTTTTAAGATTTATGTCCTGAGTTTAGTGTCACTTTAAATATTCCCCACTATAGTCTTACTGGGTGTCTGCTGTTCTATTGCTTGTCTCAGGGGACATGGAAATCTGTTGATGGAGCGAAAATTCATCAGTGTAAAGCAAGGTTTTAAGAAGTACAACAAATATTCCCTATGCCAGTGAATAATATCCACCTATATCCTATGTACACCTTTGGCTTTAAAGAGAGACTCTAGGAAGTGTAAATGTGTCAGAACTTAAAGCCTGAGTGCAGAGAGAATAGAGAATAGAGAATACAGAATATAGAGGCCTAGATTTCAAAGGGGATACTTTCCCTGGAGGTAAATGTAAGGGACACTTTCGGACACTTCCCAGAATTCTTCTATAACATGATGTGCAGCTGCATCTAAACATTTTTTTAAATTTATTTTGCTCCAGCTGTGTTAAAATTGTGTAAATAGTTTCCCATTGTTAAACAAATTACATTGCAGGGACTTACATTTGCCATATTTGTTTATATCTTCATCATGCAAGGTAAGCACGGTGCACATAGCGTATCCACAATGATAGGAGATTACAGTGTCTGTCTGAATAAAGCTCTTCAGAGTATTCGCCTCAGCCTAGGGACTGCGCTATTCACCAAGGGGATTTTCAAAGCCACAAAATATGTTGTCATTGTAAAGGCAAAGTGACTGAGAGGACCATCTGTATAATGTAGAAAACTCCCCAAACACTGTTATCCTGTGTTACAAGGTACGCTGTCTGCCATGCAAAATAAAAACAATTACCCCCAAATCATTTAATGGGCCCCTCGTAATTATCCACTCAACAGAAGTCACATTTTACATACAGATAGCAAATGATCAGAATGTGTATCAAATACAATAGCCTGTCTGTAATAAATCTAGTCACTGGTTATGTTGTTAAACTGGGACCTGGATCCTTCATTTATTAAATAACAACCTTGTAGAGTGAGTTCAATTCATAGTCTCAATTCACTAAGATATATATCGTTATTTGGCATACAACTATGTATTTTCGGAGCTGAAAATAGGAGTTACAAAATAGTAATTGCTATGACCTATGACAGGGGAAGGCAAGCTTCAGCCCTCCAGCTGTGGCGAAAATTTACAAATCCCATTAGACATTGCAATATTCTGGCAGCCACCGGTAGGACTTCCAGAGGCAGATGCATGATGGGATTTGTAGTTTCAACACAGCTGATGGGAGCGAAAGTTTGCCCACCCCTGATCAATGAGAAATAGCGTGTTATGGTTTAGTGAATCTACCAGAAAGTCTTTGCCAATATGTTCAGCCTTAGCATCTGCTGTGGTCCATCTCCATTGCTCTGAGCTGAGATGGCTGATAGAAAGCCAAGTAGTGGACCTACAGTATGACCAACAGAAAGATTGTGACTTATGTTTAAAGGGAACCTGTCAGGAAGTAGAAACATGGAGGCCATTGATGCCAACTTCCTTTTGAAAGTGTGCGCTCAGAGCTATTATCCTACCTTTTGTTGTTTAGTACCTAGTGAGTCACTGACTTGGGACACGCTTGTAGATTAGAAGCTCCAACTTCACTGGCTGGAACCGTTTACTAAGACATTGACTGGAACACGGATAACAGCGCTGCAGCTTGTTCCTTCAGAAGACAGTTGGCAGTGCCAGGTCTTATGTTTACTGATAGATTTCCTTTAATAAATATTACTTACTATTTTATGACTGCGGCAAAATGAAAGGAACAAAAAACACTGAAGTCTTCCAATCTTAATGTTCACCCTAATCTTAATGTTTTGTCAGTGCCATTTCTTTCTAATCTCCTCATCTTCAGTTACAAATCTGTAACGGTCCCATCGAAATAGTCTGTATGTAGTAATGAACCTATTTTGTACAAATAATGCCAATGAGCAGCGGCACAATACATCTTTTTTTTGTCTTAATGTGGAACTGCTGCCAACA